TTATCTTCAGGTTAGCATCGGTTACAAATTGCTGAACATATTCCTCTCTTATCTGAATCCTTCAACAGTACTTTGGACTTGAAGAGAGCCAAGTTCCTCTCATCATCATCCAGACTGCTGATGACAAGAAATACCTGAAAACAAATGTGGAGGTTGACCAGATTGAATCATGGGTCAAGGACTTCAAGGATGGAAAAGTTTCCCCCCACAAGAAATCTCAACCTATCCCAACTGAGAACAACGAGCCAGTGAAGGTTGTTGTTTCTGAGAGCCTTGACGACATTGTCATCAACTCTGGAAAGAACGGTAAGTTAGATTACATGATGAAATAAAATAACACTTATTTTCTGGTAGAAAAATCTTATAAATCAGTTTTTATTCCTCCTATTTATTGTTGCAGTCTTGCTTGAATTCTATGCTCCATGGTGTGGACACTGCCAAAAGCTTGCTCCAATCTTGGACGAAGTCGCTGTGTCGTACCAAAGCGACCCAAGTGTAGTCATAGCTAAGCTAGTAAGTCCTTTCTCTTTCTTCACATTCGAGAGTATGCATTCTTGATCACCGGATTCTTACTCCTTCACTTGTCCAGGATGCAACCGCAAACGACTTCCCACATGATACCTTTGATGTGAAGGGATTCCCAACCATTTACTTCAAATCAGCGAGTGGAAAGATTGTGGTATACGATGGAGACAGGACAAAGGAAGATTTCATAAGCTTCATCGACAAAAACAAGGACACAGTTGGAGAGCCAAAGGAGGAGGAAAAGACAACTGAGGAGGAAGTCAAGGACGAGCTCTGAAAAGAGAAGTGTGTTCTGTCTCTTAGCTGCTAGCTTAGTTTGGTAGTTTTGAGGAAAATACACAAAGGAAGAAGACAGAGCTTTGAGTAGAGAGGGAGACAGAGAGACAGACAGAGAGAATCTCTTTATCTATTCATTAGGTTTTTATATGCAATCTGCAGAACAATAACGGCTGCCTCCTTTCTTTTTTGGTTGATTTTATCTTTTTTTTTTGTGTTTGAACTCAGTTCTCCTTTAATATAGTTTTTGAGGCATTTCTTTGGATCGAGTTTCTAACACTTAAAAATCTATTAATCCTGACGCATATACCAATAGAATACCAATCTTGACCGATTCCACTGTTTGAAAGAAAAAGAAAAGAGAACAAAGGCTACTCTGATTGTTGAGGAAGTAAGAGAGCTTTAAACAAAACTCAAACACAATATTGTGACTTGATTCACTACCCTTCTCAACTGCAACCTGCCATTGCGCATGTTTGTCGAAGGCCATGTCTTTTTACGTGACTCTTAAAGCAAATGAGCAGCTGATAAAAGGAAGACCCCAAGAGAGGTTCCTAAAGATGTTGTTTGAACGGTTTACTGAGGAAGCTGTGAAAGGTCATAATGCTGGCCGAAGAGGAAACCCGCATGCTCGGCCACGTTCTTGTCGCCACTTGCTAAAATTGATCATCATCATGATTCATGAAGGTGTAAGTAAAGAGGATAATTACGACGACGGCGGCCCAATATAAAAAGAAAGCTGCCTTTGTGCTTCTCTTTTTTGACTTTATAATCTTTTTTCTAATTCCATTAAACTTTTGGTTTAATATGTCAACTTCTCTGTCGTGTAAGTTCGTTCTGTCTTATATGAGTATACTAAGACTATAACGTCCATGGGTCGTTTTTTTTTTTGGGTACTAATTTACATGATTTTACTAAGACTATGATGCTATTAGTCTTTCTTTTCTTTTTTTTCTTAACTGCAAATATTATTGTGAAAGTCGTTGAATCTTGGCTAAGATATATGTATATAAATCTTCCAGAGCGTCCCTGGAATGCTTACCAAAGTTTAATTAACATTGTTATGCGAGAGATAGCGATAATGGCCATTACCGGATACGCTTTGTTTTGGATCCTTTTGTTTTCGTGTGCTTCATCTATTAGAAGTGAACATACGGAGACAAATGAGTTAGTGTTGACATTGGATCATAGTAACTACACCGAAATCATCGACAAGCACGATTTCATTGTTGTCAACTTCTACTCCTCAAGGTATATATTTTGTGATATATAGTTTAACAATACTGTCATTTGGTAATCCGTATTAACTTTGTTCTTCTTCAGGGGTCCAAATTCCATCAAGTTTTCTCCTCAGGTAAATATATGGTTTTTTTCAACCACTTACCGTAAATAGCATACTTACAAGATTTTTTTTTAAAACCCTTTGTACCGTTTCTTGATCACTTTCTATAGTTATTTGTCTAATTTCATCATTAGGCCTTGACTTATGGGGTGGTGATATGTTGTGTATAGTACGAGGAAGTTGCGTCAGAGTTGAGCAGTCACGTCCCTCCGGTGGTATTTGCCAAGATTGATGCAAGCGAGGAAGCAAACAGAGCATTTGTAACCACCGAGATTGGGATTACGCGTTTCCCATCAATCTTGATTTTCAGATACCGAGGAAAACTACATGAATGGTACCTTGGACGTAAAAGAACAGAGGACGTTGCATTATTCTTGAAGATACTAAGTGAGGAACCTCTTCCTTCATTACATATCACATCAGCTGATGATGTTGCTGATTTTGTTAGGGACAATAAAATTTGTGTCGTAAGTGAATATACATAATTCCTTTTTCTTTGTCAATATTCCATGATCTAATCATGTATGGTAGTGACTAGTCAAATATGTAATGTATACTTTTGCTGTAGGTTGGAATTTTCCCTAAATTATCTGGCTCCGAGTTTGATTCTTTCTTGGCCGCTGCATATAAATTTAGTGCTGACTTTGATTCCGCTGCCGCCGAAGACAAGATTAAATTGCACTTTAACTATACTTTCGCACACGCCTTGGATGCCAAACTTCTTCCTAGCGGAGAGTCAACTGTGATCGGACCTTTAGTCAGGATATTCAAACCCTTTGATGAATTGGTTGTTGATTCCAAGGTACAAGAGAAGCCTTTTTTCACTTTGTATATTACATGGACGAGTGAGTGGTCATGTTGCCGGATGTTTGCTTGATTTAGTACTCTCGTGCATTGATCAGGATTTCGAGTCGGAAGCTCTGTAGGAATTTATCAAAGAATCTAGCTTTCCACTTGTCACCGTCTTTGACCAAGATCCAAAAAACACCCCATATGTTGTCAGATTCTTTTACAGCCCTTATACTAAGGTAACTCATCCTACATAGGGCTATGAAGATCTTAAAACCATTCCGTACGTACGTCATCACCAGTTCATGACATTACTAAAAGTTAATATGTTTTTGCATGGTGGTATATATAGAGCCTGACTGGAAAGGTGACGTTGTACATTAATCTCACTGGAGAAGCAGCCGAGTCTTTTAAATCCAAGTACCGTGAAGTTGCTACATCCAACAAGGGAAATGGTCTTCGCTTCCTTCTAGGGGGTGTCAAGGAAAGCCAAGGCACATTGATGGTTTGTCTCTTCTCCTTCTTCCTCTAGGTTAGTGTATTGGTTACGAAATTCTGAACAAGTTTTCTCTCTTTTGAACCATTAACAGAATTACAGACACAAAGAGAGCCATATCCCTCTCATCATCATCGAGACCACCGCTGGCCGCAAGAATTACTTGAAAGCAAATGTGGGGATTGACCAGATTGAAACATGGGTCAATGACTTCAAAGATGGAAAACTTGCACCCTACGTAAGATCTCAACCTATCCCAACCGAAAACAACGAGCTAGTGAAGATTGTTGTTTCTAAGAGCTTCGACGACATGGTCCTCAAATCTTTAAACAACGGTGAGTTACATCTTACATTCAACTGATACAAAAAGCTTAATTATATAATTCAGGTTTTCTTTAATTCCCTCTCATTTACATGCAGTCATGCTTATATTCTATTTGCCACGGTCGAAGTTTTACCAAAAGCTTGTTCCAGTGTTTGACGAAATCGCTGTTTCGTACCAAAGTGACCCAAGTGTTGTCATAGCTAAGATAGTAAGTCCTTTTTTTATCTTTCTTTACATCTGAGTGTATATGTTAACTGTTCCTCTGCGGTGTATCTCACTCTTTCATGTGTCCAGGACGTTTCCACAAACGACTTCCCACGTGATACCTTCGTTGTGAAGGGCGTTCCAACCGTTTACTTCATATCAGCGAGTGGAAATATTGAGGTTTACCACGGGGAGGGGACAAAGAAAGATTTCATAAGCTTCATCGACAAGAACAAGGATACAGTTGGAGAGCCTGATCATAAGGAGGAAAAGGCAACTACGGAAGCCAATGAAGAGCTCTGAAAAGAGCAGTGTGTGTAATTGTCTCATGTTTTTTTTTTTTTTTTTTTTTTTTTTTAATTGTATAGTGTAATTTGCTGAATTATCACGTGATGAAAACTCAATGTCATTCTATGTAAACCAAATTTGATATAAAAGATTGTTGAATTTGTTATGGATAACCATTTTAACTGATATTTCAGAAAGCTATATATACATACAGTCATACATAGTGAAGATTGCAGAATGATACTTTGATTTTAAAGACTCGGCTGTTTTTCCAATGAAGTATATAAACAACATCATCTGAAATCGAAATATATACTACCCACCATTATATCCACTAGGTCGGAGAGTTAAGGAGGAGCCCAAAGAGAGCTCTGGAAAGATTAAAGAGAAAAAGTATGTTTTGTGATTGTTTTTCAGTATTTTGCTGGTTATTTATTTGTTTTTCTTTTTGTTTAAAGTAATCTCGTGATGAAAAAGCTCATATTTCTTAACAATAATATCACTGGTATTGAATCTGTTGATTGTCATAATTTTAGTTATTAATCTTGTGTAAAGAAGAATTAGCTATGAAGTAGAAAGTAGAAACCATATCTTGGTAACCTCTACAAGAGGAAACAGTAAAAAGTTTAAAAACTAAACCACTTGGTTAACGATATTGAAACCGACATATCAATGTCGGTTTTGTTGTTTGTGACTAACGTGAACCTCGAGAATATAACAAATAAAACTAAAATAAAAATAAAATAATTAAAAAAAAAGACAGAGAGAGAGAGAGTCTCTCGGCTTCTATCTTCTTATTGTTTTCCCGGTAACAGGGAGAACCGAACACGGGCGAACTCGCCGGATTTTTAAACCTTCTAGCAGTTTCCATGACTTCAGGTATCTCGCTTTCCTTTTGAATTTTTCATCGGATCGATTTGTTACGTCGAGAACGGACCAAATTAATTTGTTTTTTTTTTTTGTTCGATTTGATAAATTTGGAACGGTTTTGCGAGTTTTCTCTGTATTTGCTTTCAACAATCATTATGTTGATTTGGATCATAATTGATCTGGTATGTCTAGTGTATGCGCTCTATCACAAATTGAGAAAATGATATGACAGGAGAGTTGTGGCTAAATTACTGATGATTCATCATTCGTGTTTGTTGTCGTCACAGATGCTCTCACTATACCATCTGAGCTCGAATCTGCGTTGCGCCTCAGAGAGCAATACTTTATTACAAAGAGGCCTTGGCTCGGTACATCTTATCATTTAACACCCATTCTCTAGTGTGATTTCATCTTTATTACATACAAGTGGGTTTTTGTTTTAGAGATGAGTTTCATTTTTTTTTCCCCATGTTGTAGATCTCTATGGAGTCCATGTGAGGCCTGTGTCACCATTCGGAAGTACAAGCCGTAAACCCCATTATGATCCAGCTTTGATTCACCGTGTCTTGCCTGATGAGCTCCTTTTCGAGGTTTCAGCTTCCTTCTTTTTTATACTAGTCTTTCCCATTGTATTGAAACATTGTTTCTTATGTACTCTCATGTTGATTTTTGGATATGTTACTTGTAGGTGTTTGCTCGGATGATGCCTTATGACTTAGGTAGAGCAGCTTGTGTATGCAGAAAGTGGAGGTACACGGTTCGAAACCCTGTGTTCTGGCGTAATGCTTGCTTGAAAGCTTGGCAGACTGCTGGGGTTCTCGAAAACTATAATATCTTGCAGTCTAAATATGATGGATCATGGAGGAAAATGTGGCTCCTTAGATCCAGAGTTCGTAGTGATGGTAATCTTTCTTGTTTTCCACCTATGTATTCTTATTGCATGCTCTGAGTATCATCATGTCTTGTTATATCTTTCTTCATCAAAGTAACCCTATGTCATACTTATCAACTCTTCATATATATTTATAATCTGTCGTGATTGTTTCCAAACTCTGTATCTTCTTCTCAGGTCTTTACGTGAGTAGGAATACTTACATTCGAGCTGGAATTACTGAGTGGAGCTTTACAAAACCAGTTCACATAGTAAAGTCTTTTGTCTTTTTTCTCCTTCATTTGTCTCATACAGACATTTATTGAGTGGCCTCTTCATAATGGGATTTTTGTTGCAGGTTTGTTACTACCGCTACATAAGGTTCTACCCTTCTGGCAGGTTTCTTTACAAGGTTTGCACATTTCGGTCTAGCTAGCTAGGTGTTGAGCTGCTGGCGTGATCTACCCTGATATTTTTGTTTCTTATTCTCCAGAACTCATCGCAGAAATTGAAGGATGTTGCCAAGTACATGAACTTTAAGGCTTCTAAATCTGACAGTCTTTACAAAGGCACCTATACACTGTCAATGTCAAATGATAAGGTTAGCTGACTCTAACTGCTTATTGGCTAGAAATCATAAACAACATTACATCCTGAAAATATGTTCTTTCTGCAGATTGAAGCAGCTGTTTTGTACCCAGGGACACGCCCGACGGTCTTAAGGATTCGTTTAAGGTATTTCAATCCCTCAGAACAGGACAGAGAAAATTTATTTTCGATAGAATCATCTAGAACCTTGATTTGGCATTGCTATCAGTGCGGTAATTATGGGGAATCTAGACTCCTTTGGAAGGATTTAGCCTTTTGGGAACAAGACGTGTTGCTTATCTTTGAAGTACCAAGCTTCCAGTGAATGTGATGAATATTTCTATGATAAGCAAAAGATGGGGTTAAACTGAGTAGCTCGTAGTTACTGATTCTGATCTTCATGGTATGGGCTTGTTTTTGGGTGTGGTTAGGTTAAGAGGAACAGCAGTTGGAGCAAATAACCGGATGGATTTGTTGGCACTTGTGACAAGTGGTGTGAACGATGATGAAGTAAGCAGCACAGAAGAAGACATTCTTGGTTTAGTTGAAGGTTGGGAAGATGATGAAACTCACAACCCGGATATACCTGCCGTCTCACACAAGAGGGGTATGACTCCATTCGTCTTCGTTCCTTTCGAAGAGGCAAGTCAACCATAACAATCATGCTTTTAACCCCTTTGTTCAACTAGTTTATACATTGATTTGACATGAATCTGTTTTCGTGATGTTAGGTTGAGCAATCTGTTTTGAACTTGCCACCGGAGAAAATGGATTACTTCGTCACCGGCTAAAAACGACACAAGACACACGTTTATGTACAAATATGTGATATAGAATAATGTTTCTATTTAATTATCATGTTGACAACATATTAGTGTTTGCTGGTGTCGAATTGTGAAAAAAAAGACGATACAGAGACATGAAACAAGCCTTAATATTGTAAGCTGAAGTGTTTTAGAGTTGCTTTATTATCATACACACACCAAAGGCTTTAAAGTAAAAGAAGCAGGACTTGATCAGATGCTAGACTTGATGGTCTTGTCATCCTCTGAGTGAACCAGATGCTGCCACGATGGGTTTCGAGGAAGAAACGTATCCTGCAAAAACGAGACATTTCATAAAAAAACAAAAACGTATCTGGAACATCGTAACAATTGTTGAGGAAGAAGAGATGCATACAGAAACGTAGGAGCAAGTGGGGACGATGGAGAAAGAGTGTTCGGAGGCGTGTTCGAAAGCGGCGACGCAGAGATACGAAGCCAAACCTAATCCTGCTTTTGACGGTGGTACAAAGGTTCGAACCAGATCCATGACTTTACCGTCGTTCTCAATCTTGTATTCTATGAAAGCTTCGTGATCCTCCGTCTCGAATCTGTGTCTCCCTTCGTTCCACACGATCTTCGGTTTCTCCTTCGCCGTCCCCGTCGCCATTTTATCTGATCTCTCTATAACTCAGTTTCCTCGTCTCCTCTCTTCCATTATTATCTAAACTCGTTACTAAACCGGAGAAAACCGGTTTACTGAATTTAAAACCGCAGTTATCTGCGTACACGTGGCAAGCGATGGAGGCGACTGAGTGTGTAGTTGCTTGCTACGTCGTGTTTTGTTTCATTTGGCGTGAAGTAAAGAGTTGAGAGAGAAAAAGGAAGTCAAAACTTGAGAGAGAGAGTGGATGGGGGACACGAAGGTGGAGACAATCTCGAGGTTAGCTCAATGGAGGATTGAAAATTTTGGACCTTGCTCTTTCAAAAAGTCCGATCCTTTCAAAGTTGGGATTTGGAATTGGTAAATCTTCTTTCTACTTTTTTGTTTTCAAATTATATCCGGATTTTTGTTTTTGTTTTTTTAATTTGTGTGTGTGTGTTTTTTTGGATAAAAATGAAGGCATCTGTCTATAGAGAGGAATCGTTATCTATCAGTGAGGCTATTCCCAGAACTTTCTAGAGTATCTAAGGAGCAGCCTCCTGTTGCCAAATTTGTTCTTCGTGTCTCTAACGTTGGTCCTAATCGTAGATTCTACATCTCTCCTGGTATGTATGGTTTCTGATTTTGACTTCTTTGGGTTGGAATTTGAATTACTTTTTGTTCGTATTGAAATTAGGTTTTCAGAAAAATAGTGAAGTAGCTTAGTTAATTTATGTTGGAATAAGATGAACTAGTATAGTGAATTTTCTGGAATCACTCTGATTGTATTGGAGTTTCTTTTGCTTTTCATGAATCTCAGCTTCTCAGCACAGTGAAATATCTGGAAGTTGATGCATTTAGATGGAAAGATAATAGTAAATTTTAAAATGATTGCAGATGAATAGCAGTGCCTTATGGGGAATAGTTAGACCTGAATTAGCTTTTGTTTATATGTTAGCTGAGATACTCTGTATTGTGGTGCAGTTTATGAAAAACTGCTGCGTACAACTGATGATTGTGTGTGGCATGTGGATTCCAGCTTTCATGGTCGATTCACCATTGACGTCGAGTTTCTTGATCTCAAAATCTTTCCTTTGAATGTAAGTTTCCAGCTTTTATAGTGCATAATGATTATAGACTTTGAGATTCTTCCTCGGAAGGTTGATCAGTCTAAATCAAACCAATCCAGGGTGGTGAAGCTTCTCCTGTTTGGCCTACCGATGCAACAATGCAATCAATCTCAACCCAAACCACTCTCAAATGCTTATCCCGGATGCTAGAGGAAAGCATCCTAACTGATGTAATCATTCACACAGCCGATGGAACGCTTTCAGCTCACAAAGCTATCCTCTCAGCGAGCTCAACCGTCTTCAAAAGCATGTTCCACCACGACCTCAAGGAAAAAGAATCATCCACAATCCACATCGACGACATGTCAACAGAATCTTGCATGGCTCTCCTAAGTTACCTCTACGGAAACATAACCCAAGAAGACTTCTGGAAACACCGCCTCGCCCTCCTCGGGGCTGCAAACAAGTACGACATAACGGATTTGAAATCGGCGTGCGAGGACAGCCTCATGGAAGATATAAACTCGGGTAATGTTCTCGAGAGGCTACAAGAGGCCTGGCTTTACCAACTGGAGAAACTGAAGAAAGGGTGTCTGATGTATTTGTTTGATTTCGGAAAGATTTATGATGTCAGAGAAGAAATAAGCAGTTTCTTTAGACAAGCTGATCGAGAACTGATGCTGGAGATGTTTCAAGAGGTTCTGTCCGTGTGGAAACCAGTATAATATACATACTTTGCACATGCTCTGAATATTTCAGCTCGATGGGGCTTTGTCTATAGTCTTCGTGTTCCCTTGTGTGTGTGTAAAACAACTAACAACAACACTTGATTTTGTTGTACTGTGTCTAATGTATAGTATACGAGTGGTTTGCTTCTGGTTTGTGTTCCGATAATTCCGAACCATTACTACATGGGCTGAGTCTCAAATGGGCCGTGACTAGGCCTCAGAAGATATGAGATCGTCGACATGGAACGTCGGCACAAAACCATATACAGTAAAACCTCTATAAATTAATACTCTATAAATTAATAAACACTATAAATTAATAAATTTTGCTGGTCCCAAGTCGGGTCAATATAAAAATTGACCAAATTCGATAAAATAATAAGATAATAACTCTTTTGAAATCCCCATGTAAAATATAGTCCCAATAATATCATAAATTAATAATCACTATATACACACTCATATATTTATATATAAGTAGATATATTAATGTATTTGTAGATATATTAATGTATGTATCTAATTTTTTGTAAAAATAAATTTTCTCCTAGAGTTCACCTCCATAAATAATTTTGTGTTAGTATATTTTTAAAAAATAATCTTGTAATATATACCATCACAAGTCATAAAAATAATCAAATTTTCTTTATGTTTTCAATTTTTAAATATGCATAATATTCATTTTTACATATAGGATGTGAAGATATAACAATTGAGGTTATTATGATACATTTGAATTTATGTATATCATTTGTAAGTGAATTTATCTATAATTTTGAAGTTTTTAGTCAAATTTCTTTTTTTAAAAATATATAATATTCATTTTCAAACTACTAGCTAATTTATAATATTTTAAAGATTAGTCTTATTTTTGTAAAATTGTGTCCATCCATATCTTTAAAATATTTGAAAATTAAAAATAGCACTATAAATTAATAATTATTAATTTACAGTATAAAATAGTAATTATTAATTTATAAATAAATTAATATCACTATAAATTAATAAAATATATTGGTCCCAACATTATTAATTTATAGAGGTTTTACTGTAATAATTAAAGTCGACGTTTGAACTTTGAACCTTGAAACTGTACGTTTTTGTTTTTAATTAGATGACTCAGCATCAGGAAAGAGCAAGTCCTGATGGACACGTGTACGTTGCGTCCCAAAGAGTCTCTTATAACGTAAAGGCATTTGTATAAGTATCTTCCGCCAAAATTGGAAATGGATATCATCGGAGCTTGCTGCTAAGAAAAAAAGCCAATCGAATCGAATTTAGGGTTCAACTTTGCCGGATTTATCAAGAGAGAGGGGTTTCTATGGGGAGGAACGGGATTGGGAGCACGGGAGGGAAGAAGAATGGGGCTGGGCAGTTCTTTCTAGCGACGCTGCTTCTTTGGCTTGTCTCCGTCGTGTTTGAGATTGTTTTCAATCTCCGGACCGAGCTTCTCTGGGTTATTTGCGGTGGAGTCTTCTTTCAATTGATAAATTGGGTGGTTCGTTCATGGATTTCTCGTGACCCTCTTTTTGTTAACACCTCTGTCTCGCTTTTGCACTCTATTATCACCTCAGCTTCAGGTCCCTTTCCGTCTCTGTCTCTCTAATATCATTCGATTTTGCTCTGTTCAATGTAGAAAAGTTTATGCGTATTTGGTGTTCACATTGGTCAATTGCATTCTCCATTTTGCATAGGTGCTATGTGGTTTTTGCCCTTGCATTGGTTCATTGTTTAGTGTAGTTGTAGTTGTTGTTTCCGATTTAATTGTTCTCGAGATTGCTTTATTATAGTGGTATGGTTGCTGTCTCTATGCTATTTCATGTAATCGCTTCAATCTCCTGTGTAATTTTTGTCAGAGTGAGACTTGATGTTTAGGTTCAATAGGTAAATTATAAGCCAGAATCTTCTGTGGAAGATAACAATCAACTCTTCAACTTCCAGTTTTGCTATAGCCTTGTTGTTTCCATGATCGGGATGTGGGTTGATAAGTTATTTGTTGGTCTGTGAGTTGATGTTAGAAACCGGCCCAGAATTTTTGCTTTCTGCTCAGAATGCCAATTGTTTCTTGGATTGCAGCAACTGTTATTATAGATGGTGCAGTGCATAAAACATTTATCCTTCTTTGAATTACACCCTTGAATGTTTAAAAAACCATTACACCCTTTGTTTTGCCATATCTTATGTATGATGCAATTCTTTCTTCACCAAGCCATACTGATTAAGATTTTGCATTTTGAACACTCTGCTTGTGTTACTACAGTGGTTTTCATTCTGCTCAATCAATACTTAGCCAAAGGGTTAGACGAGATGTTCGATCATTCTGAGTTGGTTGGTGGTAGTTGGAAATGGGCATACCCAGCTTTGTGTTTCTCATGCGGCTACTTTGCTTACGACCAGTGGGATATGCTTCAGTACCGATTATATAGCGGCTTAATACCTTCCATTCTAGTTCACCATCTCGTCCTCCTTGTTTGCTTCACATTGGCTCTCTACCGAAATGTAACTATCAATTACCTGATTCTTACTCTCATTTGTGAGGTACATTCCACTTTTATCTTCCTTAAATGTTTTTTTTTTGGCACATTTTTGTTTCTTTCCCGGATATTGCTAACATTATTTTAGCTCTAGTTTCATATATAGCAATCAGTTGGACATAGACTACAATTTCATCTCCACAACATGTACCTATGTGTACCAAAGTGACGTTTGTTATTTCGATTGTGTAAACAGATGAATTCGATCTTTCTACATGTGAGGAAGCTAAGGAGAATGGCAGGAATCCGAGACAGTAACACAGGATTAGTGAAACTGGAGTGGGTACTGAACTGGATAGCCTTTGTGTTTGCGAGGTGCATTCCTCATATTCTCATCACTGTCAAGCTAATCAAAGACGCACACAAGTTTGGGAAAGGCGTGGAGTTACCGCTAGCTCTGTCTGGTATGGTGGGAATGAACATTCTCAACGTCGGCCTAGGATTGGATCTGTTTCATGCTTTTAGAAGAGAGAGAAGTGCCAAAAGAAATCAAGAGAACATCAATCATCACAACCATGGAGAATAGTAGCCAACTTAGACGCCATTCGCTGCAGAATCTATGGATTGTTCACTTGTTGTATGACTACGACCCAATCATCCGTTGTTTATATCTCTGAAGTTGTATTCAGCTTAAAGGGAAAAAAAAAAACTATTTGTACATGTTATTTATTGATGATTACAAATTTTAGGCTTACTCGGTGTTTCAAATTCAAATAAAGAGTTTTTGGTTCGATGTGACGTCTTTGGTATAGCGTATTATATCTGTTATACAAAATTAATTTTAATGTGTTTGGTTTAGTATTGAGCTGATGTATTGTTGGTTTGGTTCAGTATTGCCACTAGTTACAAACTTACAATGTCGGGAAAAAAATATTGCAGGAGCAAGAGAGGTCCTACCGGGAGTCGAACCCAGGTCGCTGGATTCAAAGTCCAGAGTGCTAACCACTACACCATAGAACCTCAGGTGTTTGTATGTTGCATGTACCTTTTTAGAATCTAATCAAAAAGATTGTTATTTCGACACAACCAATGAATAATTCAACAGCAAGACCAGAATTGCAGTCTTCCTGCCTATATCCAGCAACCAAGCACCCATAATGCATCATATTAGACCATCACATTGGTGAAAATGAAAGGACAGAGATAAATCTCACAAGACATAACAAGTCAGGATCTGAGAACTATGGTAAGAATCCGATTTAACAACAGATTAGTTCTAGCTACTACAAGAACCTATTGCTTCTCCTAACTCCCCAAATGTATTGCATTTCTACTTCGGGTGAAAACCGTGGCAAAGCCATTACGATTCTTCTCAGAACTCCCTCGTTTTGTTGACATAATCAATGACACTGTTGTTGAATCAGAAGAAGATGAACAAGGAGGTGAGGTATGGCTGTTGTTGCTGTTCTTGATTACAAGATACTCAAGTGATCTTCCATTGATTGTTTTGACGCACTCAGGAGGATCTTTTTGTAAAAATGCTTCCTTCTTGTGAACATACCTTGCAGAATCTGGAATGCTTGCTGTATCGATCAAGAAATCTTCAAGTGTTGCAAGAGATTGTAGCTGTTTCCCTAGCGATGCTATTGTTTTCTGACAGTCTGCAAATTTTCCTACAGCTGTTCTTATGTCTTCCTGCAATAGAATCATGCAATAGAATCAACTTCAGTGAAACAAGAATTGAGATTAAGGCTAATTGGTGATCAGGAAAACACAAAACTGAACCTGTTTGATCTTTGGTTCTACTTTTTCTCTTCTGATCATTGTCTTCTCTTCTATCTCTCTTTGAAGCTCCCTTTCAAATGTCTCACACTTTTTCTTTAGCTCATCAGAGACAATCCTCTCCTTTCTCACCTCTGCTTCCATTTGGATGACCCTAGTTTCGGCTTGTGTTTTGGATTCATTTGCTAGTTTCAGCTCCCTTTTGATCTCTTCCAACTTCTTCTCAACTTCTTGGAAACAAACTCTAGATTCTTGATACTGATCTTTGGTTACTTCAAGTGATATATTTAACTCAGCTTTCTCAGCTTCCATCTTCTCTAATTTATCTTCCAACTCCATTTTGTCACCAACAATAGCTTCTAGCTCTAAGCTAAGTCTCTTCTCCGCTTCTCTGCAATAATTAACTTCACTGTCGAGCTCATCCTTTTCTGCTTGTAGCTTCTTTAACTTCATCTCAACTTCTTGAAAACAAACACCAGATTCTTGATACTTATCTCTGATGACGTCAAACGATATCTTAAGTTCAGCTTCCTGAGCTTCCATCTTCTTTATAGTATCTTTCAACTCCATTTTGTCACCAGCAGCAGCTTTGAGCTCTAAGCTCAATCTCTTCTCTGCGCCTCTACAACATTTAACTTCATTTTCAAGTTCATCCTTTTCTGCTTGTAGCTTCTTCAACTTCATCTCAACCTCGTGAAAACAAAGTCTAGATTCTTGATATTTATCATTGATTACATCAAAGGATATCTTTAGTTCAGATTTCTCAACATCCATCTTCTTTAACATATCGTCCAACTCCATTTTATCACCAACAACAGCTTCAAGCTCTAAGCTCAATCTCTTTTCCGCTTCTCTACAACAGTTAACTTCGCGTTCAAGCTCATCCTTTTCTGCTTGTAGCTTCTCCAACTTTTCCTCTAAGTTCAATTCATTCTCAGTCTTACATTTTTTAGCCTGTGTCTCTGGCAGAGCCACAAGACGTTCCATCTCAAGGAAATCATCCATGAGATCAACTTCAGTGGATGAAGTAGTTCCATGTAGACTTCTATCACGGATTTTCTCACTTTTGAATTGATCTAAGTCAGAAATCAACGCTGATGATGCCCATGAATCAGAGCAACTCCCCTCGAGTCTCTCCCTTCCTCCATCTGAATGACTATCCAAGGATTGGTTAGATGATAGTGATGATGATGATGTTTTAGCCAAACTCCTAAGCTTCCTGCACTCAGCTTCGAGTTTTGCCACCTTCCTTATGCTACCTAAATGCTGCTTACTAGCAGTTTCAGCTGCTTGAGTGCTCAAGTCTCTTTCAATCATTAAAATCTCAAGCTCTTCACGCTGTGAAAGAAACTCACGTCTCAGCATTATATTTTCAGATTTTGCAGCTTCTGCTTCCTTCTGTAGTTCAAGAACTTGTCTCTCTAGACCGGTGTTAGCAGACTGCAACTCCTTGCTACATCTAGTCACAGCATCTTGAATTTTATCCTCTTTTCCATCTCTAAATTGCCTTAGCTTTCTAACACACTCCTTGAGAGCCCCATCAAGATGACTTACCCTATCTTCCAACACATTGTTCTTATTAGCCGCATCCTGGAGCTTTTGCTTCAGCTCTACCAGTTCATTCTCAGCTTCTTCCCACCATTCAAATACACACCAAAGATAAAGTTTTTACTAGACAAAAAGAAATTGCAGAAGCAGGATAAAGAAAGAGGGAGACTAATTACCAGCAACAGCATCTTCTGCAACTTTGGCATGTTGTTTCACAAGCTCATCATCCTTAGAATCCATTGCTAATTCCAGTATCAAAGTAGTGTACCAGTCATCACATCAGAAACTCGAGGATCTGAAAGAAGAGAGAAAGCTCAAAACACTATAACCAGAACAGGCCCTTTCCAAAACACAATAAATCTCATAGGAAACAATGCGTACTGAATTTAGACATATGCATCCAAAACACAATAAAACAAAACCCAAACAGTTTTATGGGAACATATGTAAACAAAAGAGGTAACTTGGCTTATCAGCTTCACATATCTTGCTTTCAAGCCACACTTTGACACAACAATCTTTAAGTACTTAAAATCTATAGTGGACTGGACCACAACAAAATTTGTAAAACACCCAGAAGAAGAATACAACCTGGTAATGAATTTCACAGTCACTTCAATAACACGTCATTAAAAAGTACTAATAACATCTTTGTGTTTCTCATAATAACATTTTGTTACAGAACATTAGAAAAAGAAAGAAAGAACGAGTCTAAGAAAAAACAAGATTACCAGACTAGGAAACAGCTCCAATGAAGTGTACCCCTTTACAGTGCTATATGATTCGTTCTGCAAATTCAAGAATATATAACATGGCGAAGAAAAAAGAGAAGTTCTTTCTTTCTCTTTGTGGTTGTTAATTCTTTTCACTTTTGAAATGTTTTTTTTTTTTTTTTTCAATTTTCAAAAGAGGAAGAGAGGGAGAATAATAATAGTATGATGAGATCATATATCTAACTTTTTCTTCAGCATTTAGTGAAATTATGATACAATTACATGTTTGAAAACACCTCTATCTACTGATGGGCTGCAATAAGACATTTCCCTTTCTTATAGTCCAAGCCCATTAATTTTAAAACCCACTAATACATTGGCATATCTTACATTTTTTTTTTTTTTTAAGCATATATTATTACATTCTGATCTTACTTACAATCTGTTTTTCTGAAAATTATTTCCAAATTATACAAATAACAAAAAAAAAACAAAAATTTAAAGGAAATGTGAGAAATGATATTACATTTTTAGATAATTATAATAAAAATCAATAAAGTGATATCATTTTATAAGTGTATAAAATATTCGTAAAAATGTAATGGAATAAATACACATAGAGATATATTGTTCAATAAAACAAAAATAAGGATAACTGTAGGAGTTGAATTGGTTCCAAGTAAACGTCACTTTCTGTAGTTCAAGACTTTGAAATTTGAATCCCACATGTTGTTGTCACTCATAAAATCATGACCTACGTTTATACACATAGACCATGCATTATATCAAATTATTGTCGTAAAATCTCATATTTTGTACACATATATATCAAGTATTGCAATTTAAAACCCCAATGTCGTATTATACGACTTGCATTTTCGTATAGGGTAATAATATATATATCTATGCGTGTCTATATATATGCAGACCACTGGGGCTTACGTCCTGATCAAGGATGATCCTTGTCTTCTTCATCATATTAAGTTTCCAACTTTTTTTTTTTTTTTGGAATAATTAGTCTAAGGGTTTCTTATAAGTCATTTAATTCTTCAAAATCTTTTAGAAATTTTAGGTAAAATTATATAGGTAGAGGTGGTCCTGCTCCTAAATTTTTAATGAATACGATCATCTATTGTAAATGGTCCCGTTTAACCCTACAGCCAACGTTCTCGACAAAAATGAATCTAAATTTTTATGAAATTTATGCAAATATTCATACAAAAACTTTCATTCATACATTTGATATCATAATTTAAAAAAGATAGGGAATAATCCTGTACCATGATGAACAAGACTAATCGACTAAACATTCAACTATACACCATTACTCTTTGATGTTTCTTGAGCTACCAATAACTACACTTTGCATGGATTTTAAACTTGCTTAAGCTAACCTACTCGAAAGAAAGAAAAAGTGGACAAGAGTCACAAAACAAGCAAATGTCTACTCGTCCTTTTACTAACCTAAAAATTAGGTTTTCCTTCGCATCAGTCTTACCACATTGATCAGTTCTCATATATCATTTTCTTTGGAGGAAGTCACATTGCTTTCCTACTTTTGATTGAACTTACCAAAAATAAAGCCACTTTTTTCCTTTGAGTTGTCACCTCAACACACAATAAAGTTCAAATATCAAAATCAGTAGTCAAATGAATCTACTATTGATTTCAACATTTTAACCAATATATTGTCGTTCCAATCAGAATGCAAATTGGTAAAAACTTAGATAACACATATGACATGAACAACTCTCCAAGTATCCAACATAAACCAATGTGCTATAACTATCTAGATCATTTACTAATATAATATGTATCAAACCAAAAAAAAAAAAAATATATCAATTTGGAATTTGGAAACATACAATGTATACAAAAGAGACAACTATAAGACAATGTGAATGGGGCAATGCTTTAGGGTCCATTTTTTGTGCTTCAATGTTTCCCACTATTGTGAACAAGCTAACATGGACTCTTCTTCTTGCATTATAACTTGTACTACTCTCATTTTCTCTTTTCTTTATAAAATAATAAAAAGGAGAATTAAGGTGAGCACTAAAAGTCATATAAAAAATACTTCAAGAATCCCATGCAAAATTATTTATATTAAAGCAACTCACTTTCCTAGTTTTTTTCTTCTCTCTTTAATTATACTTTTATTCTTTTTCTTTTTTGTGTGCAAAACTTTCTCTTTTGTCATATTGAAATAATGATAAAAGGCTATATTGAGTTTTGACCCTTCTCTCCATCTTTTAATGGCTGTATCAGATTCAGACCACATGCCTACAAAGAGGTATGGTGTAGGGAAAGACTCTTGTCCCTTTACATATCCATATACGTAATAATACATATTTAAGCTAAAATCTAGCACAAAAAAAAAATCAATAATCTAATCTATGGATACAATCCATTTTAAATCCATGTATTGTCATTACTTACAAAATTTAAAAAAAAAACAAAAAAAAAACTTCCACATAATTCTTCTTCAAACAGAAGCATCAATCATTGAAAAAACGACCAAACCAAATATTAAACTACAAAAAAAAATATAGAAAAATATTTTTGTTTTCTTTTTCTCAAATTTATAATTAGTTATAATATGAAAAAAAAAATCAACTTTTACTTTTCCTGGATTTTCTTCTGGTTAAGGTCCTCACCATCCAACCTTGTTTCCTCACTTTGGCTCCTTCGACCTTGGACGATGCCACATGACAAGAAGTGGTGGACGAGCCTGATCTGAGTCTGACAACGTGGAAGAGATGACTAATACGCTTGCGCCACCTCAGCGATGACTTGGCAGTATTGTGCTCTACGATACTTGTACTGCTCATTATAATAGGAGATTGCTCCTTCTTGCATGTTGAGTTTGCTGTGTTGTTGTTGTCTACACAAACCTTTGTCACCACTGCTTTCTTCTCCCATGACGCGTTTCCATCGTTTTCGAATTTTATTGATATAAAAGAATCTGAATAACAAATTATATATATGTATGAAACTCTTAGAATTTCAACAATAATTTGATGATCTTGTACCAATAATTCATATAGACTACATTATTTTACCAACTATTTAAAAGATGATTAGGCTTATAGCACACTGCTCATAATTATATCGAGTAAAACAAATTTTCAGCTGGCCTGATTAAAAGACTATCAATATGTACTAATTCATCATCTCTGAAGAAAAATGGAGTCTGATTTAAATGTATGTGTAAATGCATACAATACAGAAAATTATATACATGTTTGCAAATAAGAATAAATCATCTCAAGAATATTGAAAAATGAAAATCTTATTTCGGAAAAAGGAAAATACTCTGTATTACCAAAATCAAAATATGAAAAAAGTATCCAACTGGAATTAGATCTTGAAGTATTTTTTTCTATGATTAAAATTTGATTACTATAAGATGTATGTATACACTTATACTATATCAGATTATGAAAAAAAAAAAAGTTGTGAACCTTCTTGGCTTGTGGAGACGTCAAGATCGGAGGAGGGATGGAATTTACGGTGACGGAGATCGAGACGACTGAGGAGAGAGCTCAAGGCGAAGATCTTAGGGAGGCTGATGATAGGTGAAGAGGAAGAGTGTTTGGTTCTTGATGATCTCTGTTTTGAAGCTAAAACAAGAAGCCTCTCATTCAAACAGAGAGGACAAACTCCAACATATTCTTCCTTTGGATGGAAATAGCAGTATGGTGAGCTATCATCTTTGTACATTTCCATCTACTTCACTTCCGATGAGAGAATAATATAAGAGGAAGAGACCAGAGAGGGAGAGAGAATGAGAGAGAGAGAGAGAGAGATAAGATAATTGTAACAAAGAGATGGGCTTAGGTATGAAATTGAAGCTTTGTAATATATATATATATGTATATCGAATATATTTGTATATATTACATATTTTTTTCCAAGTAATTTTACAAAAGAAAAAAAAAAAGAGAATTCCAAGTAGATAAGCCTTTTAGTTGCCGGAGAAAGAAAAAGCAAAAAAAGGAGTTTGTTTGACAAAAATAAAAAAGAGAGATTTTGATATGACATGAATTTAATTAAATATATAATTCTAAAAACCATTAGTAGACTGTGTTGACATCATTGTTTTCAGAGAATGACAATCTAGAAAATTAATTAGTGTTATATATATGTAGAGAGTTGAATTTTTATGTGTTTGATGAGATGCAAGCATATTGATCTAAGTCATGCACCAGTTTATTAAAAGAAAAAAGATCTCGAACTTATTAGTACTTTTTATCATGCCATGGCCTACGGGTGTATTCGAGACATCATATGTATATATCAAAGTATATTTATAAATTTAAGATGGTCAGACAAATACTTAATTAAAAACCGATTTGAATATCTAGGAGGAACGTTTGTTGCTTCAACAAGTCACACTACTAGTCATATTTAGAATTATATATCAGATATAGATTTTAATAATTCACCAAGTCGACGAAGCATGTTCTGGTCTTACCAGATTTAGAATCGGAACAGATAGTTCGAGAAGGATGATGATTCATGATCCCTTGTGGATCCGTGGCATGTGTAATAAATATTATTTAAATAAAAACTAGCTAGTCACTAGTTTTTTTTTTCTTTAAGATAAAAAATAATACTGTGAACAAAGAAATCATATATATATATATATATATATATATATGTTTGTTAAGAAGAAAAAAAAATCGATATATGTATATATGTTTGTTAAGAAAAAAAAAAAATCGAAATACAGTTTTTGGAGGGTGTTGGACGAGAAGTATCCACTTGTAGTATTCGTAATTCCAAAAGAGAATGTATCCGAATATTATGGACCCATCAATACAAGTCGATCATTCTTTGATATGTTAAGAGTTATTTTGGAGGTGTTGTCGACAAATTCTATCTATCTCCTCACTTTTAACTTCAAGTTTATTTTCATTACACAACTCATCTTGATTGAAATCTCAGTTCATACCAAAATAAATAAGTTGAGGGATTTAATGGATAAGACTCATGTGTTATATGAATTATTTTAGTTGTCATTTTATTTACGTGCGCGAGAATTATTATGTTTTCTCCTCAAATTGTTTTTTTAAAAATGGCTCTCTCACATCACATGGGCAAATTCTCCATTATCAAAAAACCATATCGCTTCATCTGCAATTCTTTCTTCTTTGGGCGACACAAAAGATCAGATTTAGCTTAGGGTTTGATGAAACTTCTCCCTATTTGCTAATCATCTTATTGAAAATTGCTCAAATTATATACAAGTCTTCTCCTACTACTACATTATTCTTCTTCAAATCACGTGCTTATCCCAAATGGGAATATTATAAGTTAGTAAATAAATCATGATTAAAGTTTAGGAGCTAGATTGACCTAATATCTTTTTTTTTTCTATAAAGAAGTTGGGGTCTCTCTTGGATGTGAACATAAAGAGGGTCCATTTTTATTTGTTGGTCAAAAAATTTGAGCGTTCACGTGATCTCCAAAAGAAAAAAAGAAACTAAAAAGAAGAAGACAGGCTTCAATATCAAGAGCTAAAGACCCAAACACTTAGAGAGACATTGACAGGTGATATGTTTGTATAGTGATGAGTTTCAATGTATCATCACTTTTTTTTTTCAATTAGACCATCCCACATACTTCCTTTACACTATACTGCTCACAATGATCAAGATGAGTTCAATTAGATAACAGCGCTTTTCAAATCAACATGGACCGGTTCTATCGGATGGGTCCCGACCATATGACAAATTGAAAACAAAAGAAATTATCGGTTTATATATATTCTGATTTTATTCAAAATAAGAGATAGTAAGAGTTGATTAACTTGTTATAATGAATCAATTTACCCTGTCGAATTAGATCCATGGATCCAAATGAACAAGAGTTGTTTAGGTGTTGGGCTTGTAAATCTTTAGATTTTAGAGGCTTGAGAACAAGTTTATACGTACGTTTGCTAAACACAACGTTACGCCTGAACATGTATGTATAGATTTCAGTTTATTGTTGCTTCGTTAATTCGATAAAAGTCTTGTTCAGTCCACTTCTTGATTAGATATATCTTCCACACGGTGATATTCAGATCCGTGTAATTTATACGATCTTATCAAAAAATTTGAGGGCATGAAAGTAGCTAGTCCTACAAAGTTATCTATAGGACCTTTTTATATAAGAAAAAGTGAAGTAAAACAAAAACAAAACAAAAGAATGATCACATGTGAGGAATGGAGAATCTTTGGGTAGGATTCAAGTCATGTTCCCATAATGGGATTTTGTGGTATGGGTATTATATATTTGTGGGTCACTTCATAACGTTTTTAAAAGTAATTCCTAAAGTTTTTCATTGTGTTAAAACTGGTCTCAACTTTCAATTGAAGTTTTTAGTATCACATGGGAGAAGGCAAACAAAGGATAAGACGACAGTAGCGATCAATCGAGATCCTCTACAGCTACGTCTCTTTTGTGCTTAGAGATGTTGTGACCATGTTTACTAAACCATGTATTTAATTGATTAATCCTATATACATATATAGGGCTTTAACAAACAAATATTTTTTCTAACAACATGTGGTTACAGAATAAACCAAATTGCTATATATATCAAGATTTGCTATTCCTATCTATGGCAATCAATAATACCTGTTTGGACAACAAAGAAAAATAAAAGCTGTATAATATTTGTTTAGCTCTATAACTACCATGAGAGAAAGAAAAAAAGAAGAAGAATCAAATTTAAAAACAACTGCTAAAAATGGACAACTAGTTTTACTATATAATTCACCAGACTAACCCAAACTTTACCCACCAAATCATCTTCTTCTATCACAATTATAAAGAGAGAGAGAGTTAAAAAGAAAAAAAAAGTTACAATACTCATTTAGCATATTTGAAGAAATCATCATATCAATAAGCCTACGACGTTATGGCGACTCAAGCGTTGAAGAAAACATGCAGTATTTTCATGGTTATAGCTATATTGACGATGATGTATTCGGCACAAATTGCTCATTCAAACAACGTAGGAATGTGTGTGAAACATTGCCTCCCTCAGTGTTTGAAATCGGCAAATAAACATACTCCTTCAACATGTGAAGGATTTTGCAAAAAGAACTGCAACAAACAAGTCATCAGTAAGGAAGAAAGTTTTGTTCCTCGCACGGATGAAGACAGTGGTATTATCGCTGAAGCTAGAAAGACGATATGTGGATGGTTCGGATGCTAATGAAAGTGGTCATGAATTACGGAAACTCCTATTTTTTTTAATTTCTTTATGATGAACCTTATAAATATGTACGTTGTATAATGTATCTTAATTGATATTGATATCACCATATATATATATAGATATGTACGTGTTCATTGTTCTTATGACTTCCATTAGAACATTTATATGTCTTTCTTCTGAACAAACTAAATATTTATATGTCTATGTCAACAAAACATTCCAAATACACACACCATGACCATACATTACGATTTGTCAAATATCATCATTTTCGTATCCGCAACCAAAAAAAAAAGATTAGTTCGGTTTAGACGCAACCCGGTCGGTTCTCCATTGGTATGAATTGAACCGTGAAAGAAAAATCAATTGGAGTTGAATTAGGTTCCTTATTAGTGTCGTCTTCCGCCGGAGTTATACCTCCGCCTCTGTATCCGTCGAGGAGACTCTGAGGTCTATCAGTATCAGTCATCTTCTTCGACGCCTCTTGGTAATTCAAAAAAACTAAGCTTTATCTTCGATTAAGCATACTCTGTTTTCATCTTCTCTTTTTCTCTATGTTGGATGGATCTGACTTCTTATGCTTTCTTTCTGGAGAATCTTTGATTTAGTTGTAGTTTTGTTCCAATTTCTTAGATTATCATTTTTAAAAATCGTTTCTTTAGGTTGAAACATTGCTTGATCACATTCATGGATTGTGGTGGTACCACTGAGATTGTTTAATTGGGATTCTTGTATCTGTTCTTATCATTCTAAGCTCTGAAGTTTTGATTACTAAACACAAAGATGATTCTTGAGTTCTGATCTAATGATGCTCTCATGGCTTCTGTGTGTTACAGAATCATTTTATGCTACTCTTCTCTTCAGCATTCTCTGGTTTCGAGAAAGAGTTTTAATTTATGGAAGAAACGATTGAGGAAGACGAAAGAAGCGAGAATGTTGTGTTAAGAGCTTCTTCCTCTATGCAGTGGAGTCAGTGGCAATTACTTGATTCCATTTTACCAACAGGAGGGTTTGCTCATTCTTTTGGTCTTGAAGCAGCTGTTCAGACTCGGTTAGTTTCATCTCCTCAAGATTTGGAAACTCATATCTTACATGTGTTGGATAACACTGCCAGCTTATTGCTTCCTTTTGTCTACTCTGCTCTCAAGTCTCCTGATTTAGAGACATGGCACAAACTCGATCGAATTCTTAACGCTACTTTGACTAACCAAGTCTCTTCCAAGGCGTCGGTTTCACAAGGGTCAGCGTTGTTTCGTATAGCTGCTTCGGTTTTCACTGAGATCCCGAATCTTAAGATGATTCGAGACGCCTCTATGGGATCCAAAAGCGGATATTTCCACCATGCCCCGATATTCGGTCTTGTATGTGGCCAACTCGGCATGGATCCCCAGACTTCACAGAGAGCTTATCTGTTTATCACGCTGAGAGATGTTGTCTCGGCTGCAACGAGATTGAACTTAGTTGGACCGATGGGTGCTTCCGTGATGCAGCATCGCATTGCTATTGTCGCTGAAACGATGTTAGAGAAATGGATGGATCGTGAAGCTAGTGAAGCGTGTCAGACATCTCCTTTGCTGGATGTTGTGCAAGGTTGCCACGGTTACTTGTTTTCCAGATTGTTTTGCTCTTGATAAAGAAGCATCTGCGGATTTGGTTTAAAGCTCTCAACTGTCCTCATGACTGGCCTTTACGGTTCTAAACATAACTATGCGAAGATCACGGTGTGAGCTTGCATTGTGAAATAAATGCCTTTATTTGGCTTCTTTGTTTTGTTAACTTGCAGCTGTATTATGTAGATATACTTGTGAGCAATGCCAAACACATCAAAATAAGAGGTACAGTAAAAATCCTTGGTGCGATCTTGAACAACTTATGGTTAAGGTTTTATGTCATATGAGGGCACAGATGAAACAATTCTCACCCTCATTTCCCAAGGGGTCGGGGAGCTTCGACTTTTAAGAAGTTTAGTCAAATATCATGCTCATTCTTGTTTGTCGAAACATGTCTCCTTGCTACATATTTGGTGTCTCCTATGGTAAATGTTCAGGGGCAAAGTGCGTCACACTCAAACTTGACATAGCTAAAGATACTGATTTCAGAAATATTTTTTTGCTCCATCTCTCATTCTCTCTCCATTACTAACATTGCCGCCAGCCACTGTAAATCAGAAACGATCATGTATCACTCAGCTTTGCTTAGACTTGCTTATCGCTCTGGAAGGATCACTTAGGTCGATTAAGGGTGTGCTTTTCTAGAAAGGCTTTCTTCAGCACCCGGTTTGAAAAATCTTTGAACACCTATTGAGCAGGTCTGATTAATCAATCTTCTTGCAAAGTTCACTTTAGCTTTCTTATCTTGTGTTGCTGTTCTCTTTATCGGTTTGATATGTAACACACGCTATTTTATCTTTCATTTCTGTTTAAATAATGTACACTACACCCATTATAAAAGCAGGGAAGCCTTATCTCTACTATAAATATCACATTGATGAAGAACTTTAAGAAACGTTTAGGTACACGAGTTAACTCTCAGTTGCTGAGTCCTAAATATCATCTATTAAGCCTTAGGTGTTTTACCAATTACCATGTATCTTAAATATAAAATAAGATGAAGAACTAATTAATTGCTATACCCCCATGCAATAGAATTCTCTAATGAAACCATGCTCGCATAGAAGTGCACACATATTAATCTAGAACATGCATATTGATGTGCGTTGCATATTGTCATTCTTGTTCGGTTATATAGTTTGTGCATGAATAAAATATTCAAAGTGCAACTTAGTGATAGACTGTTAAATGAGAAAATCTGAATTTCGTATATATATATTTATATATTCGTCTTTGTAATTTGTTTCTAACTCTTTTGTTCCTTTGCGTTTAAAAGGCAAATTCTTGATAGAATCATAAACTCTTGCTATATATTGTATTATCAAATATTTGTAACAACATGTGGTTACAGGATAAACCAAAAAAGCCATATATATACATCAAAATTTGCTATTATATGGCAATTAATATCTGTTTTGACAACAAAACAAAATTAACGCACAGTTAAGCAGCTGTATAAGATTTGTTGGCTGTATACATCCCATGAGAGCGAAGCATGAAACAAATTTAAAATTAAAAACAATTGCTAATTATAGACAACATGAGTTTTACTATATAAATGATCACCTATAGATGAATCCAAACATTACCCACCAAATCAGCTTCTTCTATCATAATTACAAAGAGAGAGTTTAAAAAGAAAGTTGCAATATTCATATTTGCAGAAATCATCATCATTAAATAATAAAAGAAGCCAACGACTGTTATGGCGACTCAAGCGTTGAAGAAAACATGCAGAGTTTTCATGGTTATAGCTATATTGACGATGATGTTCTCGGCAGACATTGCTCATTCAAACAACGTAGGAATGTGTGTGAAACATTGCCTCCCTCAGTGTTTGAAATCGGCAAATAAACATACTCCTTCAACATGTGAAGGATTTTGCAAAAAAAGCTGCAACAAACAAGTCATCGGTAAGGAAGAAAGTTTTATTCCTCGCACGGATGAAGACAGTGGTATTATTGGCAAAATCGGCGAAGTTGCCGACAAGGCATGTGACGCATTGTTTAACAACGGATGCAACTGGAAGTGGTGATGAATTACGAAAGCTCCCATTGTTTTAATTTTTGCATGATGAGCTTATAACTTTTAAGTACTAGTATATCTGTATATGTGAACGTATGTATTTGTTTGATACCACCAAAATGTGTTTGTACGTGTTCATTGTTTTGTTCTTATGAAATAAATACTTCCATAAAATTAGTGTCAACAAAACATTCCCAATTACACACACCATCCATACATTACGACTGGTGAAATATAATTTTGTTTTTGTATCCGCAAAAAAAAAGATTGGTTCGGTTTAGACGCAACCCGTTTTCATTAGAGAGTTCTAAGAGGGGTTCTAAACAATTTTTAAACAAAAACGTTTAGAACTAGTAGTACTACGTAAATTAGAACTTTTAAAATTTCATTAGGAAAGAACTGTCCTCATGATTGGCCTTTACGTATGGTTCTTAACATAATTTTTTATTAGAGTGTGAGATTGCATATATTCTGTAGATATACTAGTGACTTGAGAGCTAGCAAAGCCAAATGCATAAAAATAAGAGGCACAGTAAAAATGCTTTGTAATCATGATCTTGAGGCAAAGTTTGATTAGTGATAGAAGTCGTATGTTAAATGAGAAAATTTGAGGTTCGTGTCTATATTCCTCTTTTTAATTTGTTTGTTTCCAACTCTTAATTTCTTCCGCGTTTAAAAGACAATTTCTTGAGAAAATCATAAACTCGTAACAACATGCCACACATCTATATATATAAAGTTAACTTTTCTCTCTCTTTTCCTTAATCCACATCATCATCCACCTCATTTTATTATTTAATTTTTAAAATTGATTATACCATTTTATCATTTAATTTTAATATTTAAATCTATGTAAATAATTTTTTCAAAAATGAATATGAAAGGTTTTTTTTATATTATACATTATAAAACTAAAAAAGATAATTGATTAAAAGTTAAAAAAACTTACTAATTATCGATTATACTAACAAATATATAAATAATAGATTATAGTTTTCAGTGAATTTTTAAAATATATATATGATTATATTTACACAATGTAAACCTAAATATAATGGGATTTAACGGGAATAGAGCAAAAAGTAAGAAATTTTGAAAATATAAATCTATCTAATTTATGTCTCAAATTTTTTTAACATAAATGAGATAGGTCGGACCGAAACATGAATTCTCATTTTTTATAAACATATAAAAAGGTAAAAATAAAAACAATATTTCTTTAAAAGTTTCCAATATGAATTTAACTATTTTTTCCCAATACAACACATATGTTAAACTAATAAACAATAT